AATTATCGCAATGTAATTTTTCACAATATAACAGAAGTTCAATAAATATTCAATAAATGTTTGACTTTATTCACTTGAATCATAATTTTTTTTATTAAGATGTTTATTTTGTTGAGGAAAAAGGACTGAAAAAGCTTTTATTTAATTTGACTGGTACATGACTGGTTCTTTGATTGGTTTGTACATTACTGGTGTTGCTCTTCTTTCTTCTCTGCTTCCATCTCTAAATAATCCATCAGCCCTTCAGTGATCAGGTGAGGCTGTACTGGATGTGCTTGAGAGGGGGGCCACTGGGGCTTAGAAAGTCCAGAGGGACCTGGGAGTACGGTGGGGTTTGATATGCATGAGGCACTGAGGGCAGGTGAAGTTACAAATGGTTTACACCCCATTGCCTCATGCATGTCAAGATAAAATGCCCATGTGGCAGAGGTGGCCACATGGCCAAGTGCAAAAGGTGGCATGTTAGAAATCTCACTGCAGCATTTAAGACTGTCTGTTCTTTTTTTCCTGATGTGATTCTAGGACATTGGCTATAGCAACTCCCTTGGATCCATTTTCCAATATTTTGAAATCCCATTCAACCAATTATCCAATGACATTTGTAAACCTGTTCTAGGTTGACTATATACTGTATGTTGTTTCACTCATGTCTTTGCCCATTTTGACTCTGATGACGTACCAGTAATGTTGAAACGTTTTTGCACAGGTAAAGGCAGCAAGTCAATCAGTATGCCCCAGTCCCTTTTCCCCCCTCTGAAATTACACATAATATTATATAAAATTTTTAGTCTATTGCTGATACAGAAAAAGGTCCTTGCACGTGTGTAGTTGTTAAGCCTTCTGGATACACAATACATTTTGATGAGAAACACTAAACGTAAACATTATTGTGTTTCTTCACAAGAAATCTCCACATGGTCCAGGTAAATCAGTTATATAACAAAAAACTTGTATTGCGTTGTGTTTGTCTGTAGATTGAACCTCTCATGTCATCAGCAGCATTTAAAGGACAGCGTTATGTAACATGTCAGGCAAGACACATGAAATGTTGTTTTTCACAATCTGCTTTTATGTACTGTATTTACAGTATATTTTATTTTTATTTTTTCAATTATGCACAATACACATACAAGGGGAAAAAATGGTAAAATGGGTAAGGCACTTTTCTGCCCAACTATGGAAAACAAAATCAGTTTGACGTGGTATTAATTAATTATGATTATTACAAAATGGCACGTGTATTGAGTTGTCTGTGACATCTAGTACCCTCTTGATTTGTCTGAGAATCCTAAATGAGTAATTTGGGATCTTCTTCTTCAAAATCTTTTGGTTGGAGTCTTGTTTTCAGACATAATAGCGGACAAGGATGATTTTGGCAAATCTACAGACCTTTGGACCTCAATCACAAGCAACTTCGGCCAAAAAAATCATAGCTCTTGCAATGCAAGCCCAATAATAGTGATGAAATACTGGAGCCACTGCAATTCACCCTCCTACTTGGGTTTTTGTAGCTGCAATTTGGATGTGTAGTGCCCTAAAATGCCCAAAGAAATTGCATGATGATGGGGTCTAAAGTCTGAAAAAAGAGGATGAAAGGAAGATGGGTAGGTTTTGAAAAAGACACATCAATTTAGGGAACATAACCCTTTTTTTGCAATTTGAATAATTTAGATCTACATTTCAATTAAATAGCATCATTTGAATTTGTTTTTTAACTTGAATAATTGTATTCAAAAACTGAATCTGAATAGCATAATTTGAAACTGAATTTATTAGTTTGAAACTGAATGTAATTAAATTGAATTCTGTTGCATCTGTAACTATCTTCAACTCTTTACCCTGTTTTATAATCTAGTTTCCTCTAAATAAGACCAAAATTTACTAAATAAAAATCCCGCTGTATTCATAGTTTTCATGTGACATTACATTAAAAGGAAAATACTCCCTGGCCTACCAACTGATATGAAAGTGAAACACTGTTACTTTGAGTTTGTTACTTTTTGCGTTGCCAAAATGCTGGATGATTGTTGTGCTTTCGGATTCACTAATCGAGGAGGAGACAAGCCTGGGCTGTGTTAGGTGAGGGATTCCCCAAAAGGTAAAAGTAAACAGTACCGCAGTCGAGCATCGGCAGGGACCTGGCGGCTTTTAACGGTAGAAATGCGTCAGTGGATGCGTTATATGGATATGCCCAACACTTTCAGTTTGTGTTCATATCTTTCTTTTTCTTAAGTTGAAAGGTGATATAAATAAAATCTGACTGCTTTTGCAGCATCTCTACAGGGGAGTCGCGTTGCTGGTCTGTTGTTTTGCCCTCCAGGTCACCGTGCATGTCACGTGACTGAAAACTATGAATTGAAAGGCACTTAAAACTGATTATTGAGATAATATTGCAGTCGAATCAACCCCTGCTGACTGTTGGAAATAAATGCAGGCTTGATCTGCACTAATTAATCTTCTTCAAGGACCCAGAAGTGTCGTTCTGACCTTTAAACTGCATGTTGTGGATTGAAATTGAAATCAGAGAAGCAAAACTGGATTGAGAGTTAATTAAATAGAATAGAATAAATATAATTTTTAGTCAAATACAGTTACAGTTGCAACTGAATTCAATTTTATGATATAACATTCAGTTACAAGTTTATAAGAGTTCACTAATTGATTCAATTTCAAATTATACTGTTCAAATTCAGTTTTTTAATGCAGTTATCAGCAATTAAAATTCAGATTTAAATTACTCAAATTCAGATTATACTGACACAAATATCAGCCCATAGGTAGGACCCTCTATTTTTCAATATATGTTCGAGCTTTGCAACCATTTCTAGGTAGTTGAATTTAAATAAATGATTCCTGGAAATTTTTAGCCCCAGATAAACAAACTGATCAGTACCGATTTTAATGGGCAGAGATAACTTGATAAAGGTATCTTACGTTTAAGTCACCTGTGAGGGGTATCAAAAGACATTTATACCAATTAAGAGAGCTGATCTGAAAGTTTGCCAAAGTGTGAGATGTAAGAGAGAAGTCCAGATGTTGGGAGTTAGGATCATGTCATCTGCGTACAGACCAATAAGGTATTGAGTAGAACCTAGCATTCCTGTTGTCCCTCAAACAACAAATGACATTTCATAAGGCCAGATATCCCAAAAGACTTGGACTCTTCCTCCATCAGAGTAGGTCACCGCACGAGTACATATATCAGTAATCACAGTGCTCTTTTAGTAGGGTGGTTAAAAATTATTCGATGGCATCAAATCCATCCATCCATCCATCGTCAACCGCTTATCCTGCATACATGGTCGCGAGGGCATCAAATCTTTCCTCCATTTTTCAAGAAACAGAGCTCAAGAAAAACTCGACTCCTCAATTAACGTGCACTATGCCCTGCATCCCCTTTCACCCCACCCCAACCTGCTTCACTTTTTCCCCCAAAATATATCTGATTCTTAACTGTAAGAATCTGTGAAGTGCAGAGCCACATGAGATCAAAGGAAGCACAAGTGTTCTATGAAGTACCTGCGCTACCAGCTTGAGGGGGGGGGGTTCAATTTGATCCTGGAAATCATGTCCTGTGGCATCTGATTCAATCATTTATCTTGGAAGAGGAGTTGTGTGTGAGTGTGTGTGGGAGGGAGGATGAAGAATCTGACAAGCAACTGAAAACAGACGGAAGCAGTTTATAATGGGTGTCACACTGTTAACTGCTACGTCTCTTACCCCCCTCACCTTTTCCACTGCACTTTCAGTCCAACATGTCCCAATTAATGACTGATGATTTCTGTCTCCAGTGCTGCTCTGGAGAGACAGGCTGGACAGACAGGGTGTATGGTGCGCACCCAAAAACTTGCTGGTGCTGGATCAAAAAGAAAATTGGGGTTTGGTGAGTGTGACTGAGGGTCCATCTACTCTCAAGTTGGACAAATCTTGGCATTGTGCGAACCCGTTGTCTGATTCTCGCCTCCAGTGCTGCCGCCCATGAGCTGAAAGTAAAACTGTAACTGATGCGAACCCCCCCCCCCCCCCCCAGCTTTGGAGATGGATGGTACAGTATCATAGTTGTTCTCGGAGATCAATCACCCGTGAATGGATGAGTCTGAGGACACCTTCACTGTCTGGGAAAGATTAGGTTCACGATTGCTGGCTCAGAACATACTCATTGATTTTGGAAGACAAGAGGGGATGCATGTCCACCACTGAAATGAAAAAAATGACAATAAAAGGACAATTTTATGAATAATATGGGGGACATATGGAGATACTAAAAAAGAACATATCTGTTTAAATGTTATGCCTCCCAAAAGGCCCATGGGAAGTAGGGATGCTTAAAAAATATTCACTCACTCACAAATCACTCATCTAATGGCAAAGTAGCTGGTGCTTTATATCTTATACAAAAGTGTTGTCCTTGAATATAAAAGACAATGGGGCTTGCTGAACTAAGAAAAGAGCCTTAATTGAGGTGACTTTCTGAACTGAACAGATATTTCTACATCTGTAAAAAGAAACAGACTAATGTGATATTCTGTATTCAACATAATCTGAAATAATTTTTCATTCCAAATTCTCTGCATCAAATGATTATCATCTTTAATAATATTAGATGAACTTCTCCATGAAAGCACTGAACCATTCATTAATGCCATGATAACGTTGAGGGGAAGCTCAAGAAAGGACGTTAATTGGATCTCTGGTACAGAATCTGAAGCTCTCAGTGTGCAGCTCCCACAGAGTGCGTGTGCGCATGCAGTTAGTGCTATACTGGTTGAATCTATCAGTCATCAAGAAAATGGAACAGTGGAAATAATTGGGAGATATAAAAGTGATTTTTAATAATAATAATAATAATAATAATAATGGTAATAATAATAATTAATGCAGCCACGTCTGTGCGTAAATTGACTCCTTTGTGGCTTTAACTAACATTTCCCTTTACTTTCAAACGGCCTAGTCCGGATGAGGCATCAGGTCAGAACAGTGCATGCCAAACTTTTACTAAAACATTTGAATTTGTCATTTATGAATCTGAATTTATAATCACGCCTGTCGAGTCCAACAAAGCATCCTCTCCTCTTTTCTCCACCATACACGCCTCCACTTAAACGGAGCTGAACTATGTTTACAGTTGCAACCACGAGACGGTTGACTATTTTACACATTTACAGTGTGAGCGTGAGAGTGGTGACGTCAGGAGCAAAGAGCAGCAGGCAGCGAGCGGAGAGGCGGATAAGCAAGACACAACCTGTGCCGGTGCGCATTTTTCCAAACTTCTCCAGCACTGTCCAAGAGCACGGAGCCAAACAAAAACATTAAGAGAGGAGATCATCTGGCAGAGCGATGACTAACAATTCTATCAATTTAAACACCAGTCCGCAGCGGGTCGGCGGCGGCTCCGGGACTGTGGATCATGAACTCGTTATCACCTCTACTTTCGGGACGCTTCTCTCCATTGTATACATAGTCGGGGTTTCGGGGAATGTGTACACCCTGGTGGTGATGTGTCACTCGATCCGCTTCGCCACTTCTATGTACATCTCCATCATCAACCTGGCTCTGGCGGACCTGCTCTACCTCTCCACCATCCCCTTCGTAGTGTCCACCTACTTCCTAAAGGACTGGTACTTCGGGGATGTGGGCTGCCGCATCCTGCTCAGCCTGGACCTCCTCACCATGCACGCCAGCATCTTCACCCTCACCGTCATGTGCACGGAGCGCTATCTGGCCGTCACCAAGCCGCTGGACACGGTGAGACGCTCCAAGAGTTATCGCAAAGGTCTGGCATGGGGCGTCTGGCTGCTTTCTCTGGTCCTCACTGTGCCCATGATGATAATGGTCGCTCAGACAACTAAGAACACGCCGGATGGGGGTGTAAAGAGGATGTGCGCACCCACCTGGGCGCCCCTGGCTTATAAAGTGTACGTGACCGTCCTGTTCGGCACCAGCATCATGGCACCGGGGATCATTATCGGTTACCTGTACGTCAAGTTAGCCCGCACTTATTTAGAGTCCCAGCGCAACTCTGTGATCAGCAAAGGCAGCAAGCGGTCACCAAAGCAGAAGGTGCTGATCATGATTTTCACCATCGTGCTGGTGTTCTGGGCGTGCTTCCTGCCGTTCTGGATCTGGCAGCTGCTGCCTCTGTACCACACAAAGCCCCTGAGCCTGGCCTCGCAGACACACACCTGCATCAACTACTTGGTGGCGAGCCTCACATACAGCAACAGTTGCATTAACCCTTTCCTCTATACGCTACTCACCAAGAACTACAGGGAGTACCTGAAGAACAGGCACAAGAGCTTCTACAAGTACACGTCCTCGTTTAAGCAGCGGCCGCCCAGCCTCTACTCGTGGGGGAAGTCTGCCTCCTCCAGCAATCAGTTTGAGTTCAACTCCGAGACGCTGGTTATGGGGACGCTGAAGTAAATTATGAACGGCGTGAAGGGGAAGTGAACGCTTTTGGAGCCGCAATAGGTAGGCCATAACCTCTCCATCAGGCAAGGGCCGTGAAAATTGCGCACTGGTGGCCAAAGTCACAGACTTAACCTATACTTCCTCACTTCATTTGTAGTTCATCTGTATTTTCAAGCAACCCCGCTCTCTAGTCATAATATAATTCTTTCTAGCCAGAGGAAAACTTACTGTTATTCCATCTATGCCAGTCCTTTTCCCGCCCCTAAGCCCCACTGAGCCCCATCAGTACTCTGACACTTATCTCTTCTGCGCTCCTTCACCTCCTCACCCTCAGGGGAGAAACTGAGTCTACTGTGCTGTGTAAGAACAATGTTTCATTGCTAATTACAGGAGCTCAACAATTTGTGTTAAAGGCAGATATGATTGGAAGAGTTAATTTACTGCAGGTTAATTTGGGGTTTTATTGGAAATACACAACAGTAATACAAACAGTTTGAGAGCTTGGATAAATAAAGGAGTATAGTATTTTCAAAGGAAAATATGTAGTTTGTGGAAAGAAATGTAGGTTCTGTTAACTTTTACTTTTCTGTTAACAGATTCACTTGTTAAGGGGGCATGAGCCAAAAATGTTGCCCTTAGTGACCCCCCACCTATTGCCAAGGCTGGATTACCAGCCAGGGGCCCTACAATCCCATATCATCTTTGTATCTGTTATTTTATGGTGAGTTGATTTGTTAAAATGCACCATTAAAACACAATTTAAAACTTAAACGGTAAATGCCTTTAGGTGGCTCCTCCAGCTCCTTGGGGCCCTGTCTTATAGAGGGAACATGCGATTGTTATTATTATGTATTATGCATAAACAAATTTGTGTTTAATGAAATCATCACAAACTATATAAAGCTAAACTAAAGTCTCTAATAAAGTGTACTTCTAATAAATACTAAAAAAAGAATAAGCATCATGAAACTATAATAGAAACTAAAATAATAAAAACTTCTATGAGATTTTGACACAGGACCCCTCTGCAAGACACAAGTTTAGTTAACAGTGCAGGACACTTCTTAGGTGATAATGACCAAATGCCCTAATCATTTAGCAATTAATCAAATGATCAAAACTAATTTGGGGCCCCTCAGTGTCTGTCTGTGGCCTGAGGGCAGTTGACTGCGCTGCTCAGTTCCATCTTTGGACAGATGCAGTCCTGTGCAAGAAGTTCACTTTTTATTTACCATCACATCACTGGTTAAAGCTAAAAATCATCTATTTCCATAGCAGTCAGACGGTGAGTAAAGCCAGATGGGGGTTTTGCTTTGTGACTGAATTTAGCTCAGAGGAACTGATTTGAGCATCTGGACCTCAAAGGCGTTCTCTGGCATGAGACTGCGTGGCAAATCACCTTCACTGATTTTGCGTGCATCCTCCCACAGAGGCAAACACACTTCCACTACTGTGGCAAACACAGTGCCAAAAACACCTACAGCTGAGACGGAGCGCTTCCAAAGAGGCTTTGTACGCTCTGTGAACTAGTCTGAATAGTGGACCACTTACCTGCATGGAGGATGTTGACACTTCTGCAGTGTTGATACTTTATCATAACTTTGTGTTTATGTGGTATTTACACTTTTAAAAAAAATTTCAATAACTGATGACCTGATTTAATTAACATCTGGAAAGACTTAAGACGTGCTGAGAGAAGAAGGTGACGGACCCTTCTGTCGTCCTTTCGGCAGGTATCTTAATGAGTGATGCATAACACGCCTCATGTTTTATGGAGAGTTCATAACTCTTTAATTAAGATGGCTCCTAGCACCGGAGGGAAGCTCTTTTACTTTAATCTGACTTATTAAAGTCTTATCAGCTCGCACATCTGCAGCCACTCTGTCCTCTTTAGATTCACCAATCAGGGACTGGGTCATTCCCTGTCCAATCAGATTTTTGTATACATTTTATCATTTGTACAAACCTTATGTACTTGAGACCCAAATATAAGTTTTAATTCTCGCCTCCCTAAAAAACATTTTAGACAGGAAGCCGTTTTCAGGGTTCAGTATCTTCAGACTCAACGGAAAATAATGATGCAAAAGGTGATTATTCTTCAATTGATGGCACATTCACTTATTTGCAGAAAGGAAGTGTTTAAAGGCCACTTCAATGTCTCTGGTGGTCTTCATATCAAGGTTGTATAGTGTTCTCCTCCCAGTGGTAGCTGGGATGGTGGACAGAACATACAGTTTGTTTTCAGTGCTCATTATCTGCAGGGGTTTGTCAATTGGGCATAGTAAGCTGTCGTGGAAATTCTATTCCTGAGGATAAAAACACAATTTTCTGCCATAACATAAGTCAAGTCCTCAAATACTGTAAAATTTAAACATGACGACAACATGGAAGGAATGTTACACACATAATGTCCACAATTACTAGGAATGAGTTCACACTGCCATTTTGGCATTTCAAAAAGGCAAGAAACTGCAACCTTCCCTTGGCAAAAATCTGATTCTGTTCATGTTAGAGCCCCTGAACTTGGTATAACATTAATCAAATACTGTATCTACTGTGGGGGGACTGCCTGGTGCCCCCAAAACCAGCCATTTTACACTTTCTTCCATATTTAATTGGAAGATAAGACATTTGCTTGTGGCCCTCAATCATTTGTACACCGTTTTGTATTTTTTAGGCTTCTCACCTTTTATTTTGGGAGCAAAAATGAAAACATCTATAGTGGCAGAAAAAACTATGCAATTCTCAGAATTCAGCCAAATTATTTGTTTTGTTTTACAGAACATATTATTTTTTCTCAAATAGCATATGCATTGGGTTTGAACAAAATGTAAACAAAAACATCTGATCATCTGATTTGACACCAAATGATTCAACAAACGGTGTGTATACAGCAGACAGATGGTAATATTTATGTGTGGACCTGGCCACTATGTTCCACAAACAAACACTGACAGAAAAAACACCTGTAGGGTCAGATTGCTTGTGATTATGAATACTATCCGAATGATACCTAGAGATGTGACATTTTCAAAGTAATATCCCAGGTCGGACTGGACGCTTCGGTACACTTCGACTTTTGTGTGTGTTTGCATGTCAAAAGTCACAAACTCATGCATAAATTCATTGCAGCCAATCCCTTGGTGCTTTTACAATCAATGTCACAACATAAATGTGGAAAAATGGCCCCTCCTTCTTTCTTTTTCTCTCTTCTCCCCACATTGTCTGACAACTCTTTGCAGAATTTCCTCCATGTAAATTACATTTGCGATCTGGTTTGTGCGGGACTTATCAGCTTATGGCTGCATACATTAAAGATTCATGAGAAATCTAGGAAGGATTTGTTGAATTCTCCCCTGAGCCTGCTAAGTCTGTTCATCCATGAGCTTGAGAGAGGCACTAGTCTTACTGCAATGCAATGCTGGATTCCCCAAACAGAGATATTAGACACCTTTAATAATTCTTAATAAAAAGAAAAAAGCCAGCACTTTTTCATCATAACAAACACAGCACTAGGGAGTGATTGAAGATAGGCAGCTCAAAAAACTGTAAGGATGGTATTGACATATTATCACCTCATAAAGTTGATATTGTAAGCAAATAGTTACCTATTTACACATCTAGCAGACATGGAGCAACATCGACATTCATTTGGAGTGCGTTTTCTTCTGCCTGCTGCATGTAGAAACAATACTGATGAAAGCAGTTAGACTGAGCCAAAACAACAAGCTTCAAATGCTAAAAAGCTCTGTACAGCTGAGATCATTATCTACTTTCACGTTACACCTAGTCATTTTATCAATTGTTGGTATGAAATCATTGATAATAGCAGCTTTAATAGTTTCGAACTTTGACCAGCATTTTTACAAGCTGTTCAGCTTTGGCTTTCATTCCTGAAGTCACTGACCTATCATGTCAAACCACTCATTAACATAACCAATCCCTATTTCCACATCTTAATGTTTTAATCAAAACAGGTGCCTGTTTAATGTCTCTCAGCTTTGGGAAAGAAGTCACTTGCTTACATTCTTGCAGTATATGGAGCATCGTCAATTCATTGTCAGTATTATTTTATTTTCAACTGAGTATACATCAGAGTAGTCCACTGACTCACTGTTGTATTTCCATAAAGTCTGGGATCTGTAAGACTTGAGAGACACTGTATATAAAACGGAACAGTCAGAACTGAAGCAGCACAGGCAGAGATATCCTGACTTTTAGGACTTAGTATGGGCCGAGCTCCAAAATATTCAATCCTGCACTCTTAATGCAACTTGAATGTGCCGGGTAAACGCCCATATCTTTCAAATGTCTAATTACTAATGTCAATTAATGTCATACGTTTGAAAGTGTGCAACACCGACTGTCTGTCAAAAATTAGTAGTCTCTAAGCACAAACTGAGATAACTTGACTGATGTCCCTTAAATAATTTCTTAGATTTGACAAAGCGCCCCATAGTCGCATAAAACATTATAAACCTGTACAAAAAAAAAAAAGGTGTAAAAATGGTGGAGGGCCACTTTTTTCAATTAAACATAATTTATTCACTTCGGCGACATTAATAAGTGTTTGAAAATTATTTGCACAGTTGTAGGATGTGACCTTTAGATGACAGAAACAGGGTGCCTGTGTTAGTCATCTCTTTAGGTGTTGTTAAAATCCAACCTGAGGAGTCTGTCATATCTCCTTTGTTGGACATAAACTTTTCATCGTTACAATTAATAGTGCTTTTGTGCTTTGCGAGCCTGGTTGTAACATGAATCAAGCCATGATTCTGCGCTCTATCTAAATCTCTGTGGGTGTTTGAGCTTGTGGCTTGAATAAAAATCAGCTAGGAAATGTGCTATCAAATAGATGATAACATTTGGGTCCTAGTAGAGGAAGTTGTTCCCACGTTGTTTGGGAGAAAATAACTTTCTCATGAAAAATCATAAAAATATTCTTACAGTTTGAGGTGTAAACAAGCCCACACACAATCACTTTCAGATATTCTATTTCTGAAAATAACGCCATAGATTAAATTGCTTCAGAGTGCAGTTCAATCCTTGTATTATTCTGTTTTAGACTGACATTTTGGACAGTACATAATGAATTAACTCCCCGAGCTGTCTAAATAGGACTGAACCACTATCCACCTGCAGTCCAGTGGTTTACAGCTGTTTGTGAACTACTTATATTAGCAGAGACTTTGAAGACTTTCCTTAAATGGAGCTTTGTCAAGTCAGAAAAGTCATGACGACTCAGTCGGCTTTGTAGACACTGGTATGTAATGCGGCCAGTTTGCACAA